AATCATACCACTAATTTTTATGAAAGGGATTTATTGAAGAAGGGATCCGTGAGGAAGGGATCCATGAGGAAGGGATCCGTGAAGAAGGGATCCGTTACAAAAGGGATTCATTGAGAATGTGTTAGTTACTTTCGAATATTTAATTGAAATTTGATCTATTTGTATTAAAAAAAATTGCGGAAGGGGTAGTCTCTAATTTGAAATTAATAAAAATATATAATTTTGAAAATTAAAAATCAAGTTTTTTTATTGTTATTTGATGTTTGATTATTTTCTGTAAATTGATTGATTTCACATTTTCTATTATGACAGTAATGTGCATAATCAACACTTTTTGATGGTTTGTAATTTTGATTCATTTTCTTTTAAAATTTAATCTCATTCTAATTTTAAAAAATGTAATTGTTCATATTATTAAAATGTTATTTTTCTATTTACAATAAATTATTCTATCTCTCTTGAATATTTTTAATAATTGTAAATTTTCTAAAAAAAGGAAATAGATAATATTCAATTAAATCCCTTCTAATTTTACATTTTTTTTTGAGAAAGGGATTTGTGAGGAAGGGATTCATTGAAGAAGTGATTCATTGCAAAAGGGATCCGTTCTGAAAGGGATTCATTGAAGAATGGATTCATTATGGATGTGATAGTTTCAAATTTTATTCTATTTTTATACATTTCTTTTTTTGGTAATGGATTTCATTGCAAAAGGGATCCGTTAAAGAAGGGATTCATTACAGAAGGGATCTGTTACAAAAGGGATTCATTGTAAACGTGTTTCATTGAGAAAGTGTTTCTACCACTAGACCATGGTCCCTACACAGTATTTTTCAAAAACACTTTCAGTAGGCAAGGTCAATTTCCTTATTATCATTTGCCTTAATTCAAAGGACGTCTTTATATTCAGTCTCGACAAATTGAGACGATATTCAAATCTTTTGGTTGCTAATATTTTGATTGACTGCGTACAACAGCCACAAATGGTAATACTACGGCAAGTGTTTCAACCTCAAAAAAAAATGTGCGTTCCTACTAGACATATGAAATAAGTAAAAAAATCCAACAATAACTCGAGCAAAGATAATGATGAATCATCGTTTCCTCTTCCGAAGCAGCAATCCTTTAATATTTTGCATTCTATTCATCCTTGTTACTACTATTTTATTCTCCTCTCATCAAGGTACGATAAATTTTATTTAAATATTAATTAATTAAATTAATTAAATTAAATTAGCTTATTGTGATGAGAAGAATATTTTGATATTGTCATTACCATTTCCAGGCCATATTCGTCCGAATGTAGAGCTGATGGAATCCCTTTCAAATTCTCCAACTGTATCGAATATTACTTTGATGACTGTAAAGATTGGAATGATGGCTGATCCTAGATTGAAAAAGTGGTATTCTCAAGTGAATGGTACAGACGCAGATAGAAAAGTTCATGTTGCAGTGATGGAGAGCGAGTCATTCTTATCTGAAAGTTCTGATCTTTCATATCTTTACAATGAAATGAGTAAGATTAGAGATTTGGATGTAATTGACCAATTCAAATTTACTTTCAATAGATTTATGATTCCATACGAACGTTTACTTATTCAAAGTTTGGAAATTGCTGAAGTTTTAAATGGAAAAGTTATTAATATTGTTCCATTGGAAGAACGTTTACAAAAATTAGCTAAAAATCCTCAAAAAGGTGTCAAGAGATTTATGAGAATTCGTAATGATCCATCTGAAACTCTATTCGATCAGGCAGTTGTCGATTTTGCTTTGATTTCAATGCAAGCTATCGTTTCTGGAGGAAATATTCCATGCACCAAGATTTA